GTGTCTGAGATCAGACAATGATGGAGAATACGAGCTGGAGGAGTTCTAGAGGTTCTATGCTACAAATGGTATTCACTTAGAGAGGACTACTCCAGGGACGTCGCAACAGAACGACATTGCAGAGAGGATGAACAGAACCTTGACAGCGCGTGCTAGGAGCATGTGATTACATACAGGTTTGCCTAAGACATTTTGGATGGATGCAGTACATACAGGTCTGCCTAAGACATTTTGGATGGATGCAGTACATACGACAACTTACCTTATTAATCACGGGCCATCAGTTATATTAGATTTTGAGATTCCAGAGGAGGTTTAGAGTGGAAAGAAGATAAATCTCTCACACTTGCGGGTATTTGGTTGCGTGGCAGAAGATAAATCTCTCACACTTGCGGGTATTTGGTTGCGTGGCTTATGTTCATATCAGTGATCATGTCAGAGACAAGCTAGAAGCTAAGTTTGCGGGTATTTGGTTGCGTGGCTTATGTTCATATCAGTGATCATGTCAGAGACAAGCTAGAAGCTAAGTTACAGAAGTGCACATTCATTGAATACATCATTGATGAGTTCGGGTATCGCCTTTGGGATGAGAAGAACAGGAAGATCATTAGAAGTAGGGACATGATATTAAATGAGGAGGTGATGTACAAGAACAGAGAAGATGCCAAGGATAGCCAAAGCAGTAGGAGCAACATTTCAGATATAAATGGATCTGAGTACATGGATATAGAGAAACTTCTAGATAAAGGTGATGATGTTTGTTCTGATCATAGAACGGAGGAGGCTCCAGGTGCAGAAGAAACTACCCAGGGCATGGAGCTTAGGAGATCATCCAGGGTACCCAAACCAAATCCCAGATATCTTTCATCTCTTGACTATTTATTATTGACAGATAGCGGTGAGCTGGAGTGCTATGAAGAGACAATACATGTGAGTGAATCTCAACAGTGGGAGCATGCGATACAGGAGGAGATGGATTCTCTACTCACTAATGAGACATGGGAGTTAGCTTAGCTACCTGCACAGAAGAAGGCCTTACATAACAAATGAGTCTATCAGGTCAAGCAAGAGAGTGATGGAAGCAAGAGATTCAAGACCAGATTAGTAGTGAAGGGGTTTCAATAGCGGGAAGGAGTGAACTACACGGAGATATTTTTCCCTGTTGTGAAGCTCATGACCATTAGAGTGGTGTTGAGTTTGGTAGCTACAGAAGATCTATTTCTTGAGCAGTTAGATATGAAGACTGCCTTTCTTCATGGTGATTTGGATGAAGAAATCTACATGAAGCATCTTGTTGGCTTCATTAAAAAAGAAAAGGAAGAGATGGTGTGCAAGCTTAAGAAGAGCTTATTGGCTTAAAACAGGCTCCGAGACAATGGTATAAGAAGTTTGATAACTTCATGCAAAACAATGGCTACAGAAGAGGCAATTCAGATCATTGCTGTTATTTCAAAAGGTTCAAGTCCAGCTTCATTATCTTATTATTATATGTTGATGACATGTTGGTAGCAGGACCATGTTTAGAAGATATAAACAGTTTGAAGAAGCAGCTAGCAAAGGAATTTGCAATGAAGGATCTGAGTGTAGCAAAACAGATTCTAAGGATGTTAATCAGTAGGGATGAAGCTGAAGGGACGTTGAGATTGATCCAAGCAGAATACATTAAGAAGATACTCCAGAGGTTCAATATGCAGGATGCTAAAGTTGTTAGCACGCCCCTTGAAAGTCAGTTCAAGTTATCTAAGGAGCAATCGCCTAAGACAAATACAGATAAAGAGCATATGAGCAAGGTGCCATATTCTTTGGCCATTGAGAGTCTCATGTACGCGATGGTTTGCATGAGGTCGGACATCGCCCATGCAGTGGGAGTTGTGAGCAGGTTTGTAAGCAATCTAGGAAATCATCATTGGGAGGCCGTGAAGTGGATATTGCGTACTTGAGGGGAACAAGGAACAAGCTACTATGTTTCAGGAGGAAGGAGTTGGTGCTGCAGGGATACGTGGATGCGGACTTCGCTGGTGATCATGATACGAGGCGAAGCACCACGGGGCATGTTTATGCCTTAGCGTCGATAGTAGTGAGCTGGATCTCATGTCTGCAGAAGATTGTGACTTTGTCTACAACCGAGGCTGAGTATGTCGCGGTGACTGAAGCAAACAAGGAAATGATCTGGTTGAACGGGTGTTTGGAAGAGTTGGATCTGAAGCAAGGAAGAGGAGTTCTTTATTGTGATAGCCAGAGCGTTATACGTCTTGCCAAGAATCCAGTATATCATACCAGAGAAGCATATCGACGTAAAATACCATTTTATACGCTCGTTAGTTGAAGACGAAAAGTTACATTTGATGAAGATTTTGGGGAGTCAAAATCCAACGGACATGTTGACGAAGGCAGGCACTATTAAGAAACTGGAGTTGTGCGCAACTTCAGGTGACCTTTACAAGTAGAAGACGAAGGCGAAGCCACACTACGAGGATTGGTTAGATCACCGAGATATTGTTGATTGAAGAAATGATTTTTCGGGGAGGGGAAGATACATGCGAAGACGGGGAGAGTTCGGGTGAACTCACTGCAGGCACTTTGGTCTCCAAGTGAGAGATTGTTAGTCTAAAGTGTAGACCCAAAGTCGAGACAAGAGCTGGAATCAAAGCGACGGAAAAAACAGGCAGACAGATCCATGGTTGACCGCGAGTCTTCTGCGGTCGACCGCGAACAGGCACAGGGGCTCAGGAGGAGCTGGATCCGAAGGCGGTCGACCGCGGCGGTCGACCACACAAATCTCTGTAATTGGTTTTGGTCTCGGGTTTTGGTTCGGTCGATTGCCACGGTCGACCGCAAGACCCGCGCGGTCGACCGCCATGGTTTCGGTCGATTGCCACGGTCGACCGCAAGACCCGCGCGGTCGACCGCCATGGTCGACCGCGACGCAGTCAGTCAGTTTTCTGAACTGTTTTGGATTTTGTTTCTACCAGGACTCTATATACACCTTAAATGATTTTTAGGGTTTGAAAGAACACGAAAAGAGAGTTTTTGACTGCAGAAAGAGAGAAGATTTCAGAGAGATTAAACCCTAGTTTGAGAGCTTGTATTTCTTCTTCAATTAATAAAGAAATTGTGTGGTGTGGCTCCCAAGGACGTAGGCACGTTGCCGAACCTCGTTAAATGTGTGTGTTCGTCTCCTTTACTATTTTGCAAGATCAGATCTTTATTTGTGGTGATTTTTCCTACTTTCCTACTTTCAATACAAGGTCCGAAAGGGCAAGGGTTCGATTGATTATTTCGAATCCCCAACAGTTTAATGAATGAGTTTTTTTTCTAATTCTTATGACATCTAGTAATCTAAATACACCTATCTAACATGCCTATGTATAATCCAATTAACTGGTATTCCAGTCGTAGTTGATAATTTAAGCATATAAGCGGTGACACTTGCTAAACAAATCTGAATCTTTAATAGCTAACAAAACCTTAGTATCTTCAATGCAAAATGCAAAAGATGTATCGAATTAATCATTGATTTGCTAATGACATGTGATATTGTTAGCTCAAATAAAGAAAAGGAAATTATACGTATCATTTCGGGTCAAAATGGATTAAAAGATTTTGCTCATCTCCACCCTATTTGCGTAGCCCCAGCCACACATTTGCTAACATTGGATCTAGTTAGAGTCTTATGTTTAGGCCTAGTCATAAAACTTCACCATTAAAAAACTAATATTAAAGAATTCCACGTGCTTAAAATAGGCGGGGAAAAAAGAACGTGTATGTTCAAGTGCTTAGAGTATCTCCAACCCAACTCCAAAAACTCAAAATGGAGCAAAAACTACGCCAAATCTTTCTCAAACCGGACTGTAAATTCAGCGCCATTTTGATGAGGTGCTACAGTGTTGCGTCAAATTTGGCGCAGCACTGTAGATATGGAGATTTTGGTTTTTCCCAAGTTTGCCCTTATAGTTTGTTATAACAAATCAAATATTCCAACTATATCCCATTTTATAGTTTGTAAATAAAATGAATATTCTTTTTGGTGTAAAATTTGGTGTAATGGTTGGAGATGAAATAGTGATTTTGTGTAAAAACTACACCAACTTGGTGTAAAAACTACACAATTTTGGGTTTTTGGGTTGGAGATGCTCTTAACTAGCTATAAAAAAAAAACAAAACCTTTAATGTTTTGTATTAAACTCCACAACTTTTTCAAAATACCACAAAAATTTGAGGGTTATCTGAAACTAGATTCAGAAAAATGCAATAATTTTAAAGACTAAGTGATAAACTTCTTCAAAGTTTTATGAGAGTTACCCTTTTATGAATATTTGCATTTTCTCAACTAGACGTTAGGATACTAGAGTAGAATAAAAGAAGACACATGCCAATAATCAATAATGCATTTGCTAATTACTCAAAAAGTTGTGTTAATTTCACATAAGCAGCATGAACCGCACATAATCATCACCATGGTATATCTCACATAACCCCTCCAATCTTTAGATGTCTCACCAAATCCCCCAAAACTTTAATCTTATCTCACCTAAGCTTCTTGCGTGTAATTTGAGGGGAAAAAAAATCTAAATTTTGTCATTTACAGGCAACACACACCCCCTCTTTTAAAATTTGATTTTTTTTTTCTTTCAAGGAAATTTAGTTATTTGTAAATTAAATGGAAGGGTTTCGATGAGAAGAAGTTGAAGTTCAATAGGATTTTGTGAGACTCTTGAAAGATTAGAGGGCTTAAGCGACATGGGTCCAGAGAGATAATGCGCAAAACCCCAAAGATTGGGAGGGTTTTTGTGAAATTAAAGTTACACCGCCTACGCGATGCCCCTGGTTCTCCTCGTGTCGGTTTTCCAGAGCCCGGTTTCCCTTATCTTTCATTAGTACTCACCAGCTATCTTTTATTATCCCAACAGTATCTAATCTTGTACGTATTAAGTATTCTCATTTTATTTTATATTATATTATTTTTCTTTTTGGATTTTTTTTTCTGACAATGAGGAGTATTTCAGAAGCCTCAATGCTGCTCTAATTTTGATGCATGTAGCCAAAAAAAGAACAGTGAAAAGAGAGAGAGAGAGGAGAGAGAAAGAGTACTGCATAAGCTTCACACAAACCTTTGTCAACCTATTTTTACTTCACCTGAGAGTCCACAGACTCTCCATCTGAGAGTTCCTCAGATTGATTCTCAGAGAGAGAGAGAGAGAGAGGGAGTGAGAGAGAGAGAGAGGAGAAGAAGAAGAGTAGCAACTTGGGAAAAGAAAAAAGGTCGGATTTTAATCCCCTTTTCTTCTTTTTCTCAATTTTAATGCATTTCATGACCTTTCCTCACTTGGGTTTTCTGGATTTGACCAAAATCAAAGGACCCATGAACTCGATCAATGGATTATTGTGTTGTTTTTTCTATTTTGATAAGCCTATCGGTTGAAGTTTTGATCTTTGTTTGCATGCAATGCCCCTTGGTTGATTGATGCTCTGGAGTACTTTCTCAGCAAATGGATTGAATGTTTTTCCTTCAAATTAAATGTTAACCATCTTCAGAGCTTGTAAAATTTTCTATTTATTGTAAATTATTGCATGATCGAAGCAATGCTTGACGAGTCTTTGTGATCTTTTTCTGACTCAAAATCATATTTTGATTAGCCCAATTGGTTTCAGCTTGCTTTGTTTCCATGCAATGATCCTTACCTGAGGGGGTTTCTTCAATTCTTTTTCTTCCAATCAATGCATATTTGTTGATTGATCAAGATCGTTTTTTCACTTGGATTTATTTGATAAACGTCAAAATATCATTATTTTTAAATTCTTTGCAGGATTTTATACAATGCTGAGGAAAAGGAGCAGGCCATTTCAGAAAGATTCATCCTTTTCCTGTGACAATGTTGTTCACAAAACAAGGGGTTCCCCATTCTTCACTGTTCCTGGCCTCTTTGTTGGCCTCAGCACAAAATCCATGGACTCTGATTCTGCAAAGAGCCCAACTTCTCCATTGGACTTCAAGTTCTTCTCCAATCTCAGTAGCTCCTTTTCAAAATCCCCGAGATCCCCGGGCTTCGAGGGGCAACCCAAGAGTTGGGACTGCAATAGAGTTGGTCTTGGCTTGGTTGATTCTTTTAAAGATGAGAAAACCTTAGCTTCTTCAGAGAGCAAAAGCATCCTCTTGGGTTCTCAAATGAGAATTCATATATCAAATAAAAAAACCCATTTGAGCTCTCTAAAAGATGATATAGTTCTAGCTACTTCTCCCAAATCCTTACCCAAAAACTATGGTAGCTCTTCACAAACTCCTATTGATTCCCCAAAGTTTGAAATTGGATGCATTGAGAATGAAGATTCTGGCCCTTCTTCTTTTCCTCGGTCTCGGATATTTTCATTCGGCTTGAAGAATACCCAATTGAGTTTATCGAATTCTTTGCCCATTCCTATTGTGGATAGCAATGGGTTTATGGGTTCCCTCTCTGCTAGCGAGATTGAGTTATCAGAGGACTACACTTGCATTATATCCCATGGGCCTAATCCAAAGACTACTCACATATTTGGAGATTGCATTCTCGATAATGATCTGATCCGTTCGTTAGATCATAAGAACATCAAGAATGTGGATGCAATTTTACCCTCTGATGATTTTTTGAGCTATTGTTTTTCTTGCAAGAAAAAATTAGAACAAGGGGAGGATATTTACATGTATAGGTTAGTCTTATAACAAAACCGCTTCCTTTGAGTTTGTTATTAAATCTTTTATGTTGGTCTTTATTGAATATTTTGCTAAATGCATTGCAGAGGAGAGAAAGCTTTTTGTAGCTGTAATTGCCGCGATCAAGAGATTTTGTCTGAAGAGGAGATGGGAAAGCCTGCTACTGACGATTCTTGTGAGTATCTGGGATCTTCATTTCATGAGGAAATATTCATCTCTTAATCCTATCACCATTAATCAACGATCAATGAGACTGAAGAGGTAAACAAATCGATCATCTGTTTAGTGAAAGTGCTGTCTATGTGAATCTTTAGCGGCCATGGATGATTCTTGTGTACATTTCATTTGTTTGCTGATTTGGTTTCAGCGATCATGATGAGATTGGTCCAAAGGGTTAATGGCCGAAAAATGCTTATTTTTCTTTCTTTTTGATGTTATGAGATTTGAATTTCGGATAAAAAGCATTGCTTTTAGTCATAATTTTGATCAGAGAGGGTTTTAGCCTTTGTACTGGCACCCAAATTTCCCCTTTTTCTTCTTGCAGACTTATCGTAAGTTCAATGAATATGATCTATATTTGGTAATACTCTGTGTTATATCTGGTTCAAATTATGCTTGGTTGTGTTGTATAAGAGAGAAGAGATGAAACTTCTCGTAGTGATCTCTCATATTGATTCATTGTTAGTTCATATTACCTCCAAGTCAGAGATTGTTAGTTTCATATCTCTTCGAACTTCATTGTCTCTTCAGTCTTCAGCCATTAGAACCTTGTAATAGAATCTGATGCTTGCATAATAGTGGAAGAAAGCGATCGTGGTATAAATTCTAAGTGCAATATGTATGGTGATGATTTAGCCCTTCCTCCCTTAGAATTCTTCACCTCATCTCACCATTGCTGAAGTTTGAAGCAGCTTTAGGAGGTTGCGAAAAATTCTTACGGTGACATATCGTGTTATTGTAGTTGCTTCAAGAAGATAATGGTTAATCAAGTCTTGGAATCATAATGACTGTAATTCTAAGTTCCTATGGTGGTTCTCTTCGGTAGTCTATAGACTTGTACCTCAATTTGAATCAAAATCTTATATAGACATCTTGATCATCTCTGCCAATTATCGCATTCCATGACTAATGACTGTCTTCATCACCATCTGGAGGTCTTCATAATACCTTCACTTACAATGAAGATAATGATGCATAGCTCACAAAAGTACCATTATTAGTCATCGCGAACTTTCAAGTCTTGCAGAAAAATATCATATATTATCAGAAAATTAAACAACAAGGATGTTACTCCTGCTACTAAAAAGAGAGTGACTTAACGTTCAAGTCGTGTTTTGATACAGGTATTTTCTGACAGTATGTGGTATTTTTTTTAATAGATTTGAAGCGCGGCAACTTTTCTCCTATGAAAAAAAGTTTACGGCATTCTATATAAAGACCCCTAATAGCCCTCGTTTCCCCTCTGATGGCCTGCTTGGTAACATCTCAAAATGAGACTTCTATTTTGATAATAACATTGTTTAGGAAAAATTAGATTTGAGTACTGACCCAGTTTTCACTATGCTAAAAAAGCCCTCCAAAACCGGTTCTGTTCTGATGCGCTCTCTTGGATTTTGAGCGACCTACCTCCTTGTCAACCAAAAACATAACCAACTTATTTCAGAACTGGATCAGGATCAATCCTAATCCCTTTTCGAAATGGTACCTTGAATGAGTGCATGTAGAGTTTCATGCTTGCGGATGAATCGAAGTGAGAGGAATTTGAGACTCTCAAGAACCACAAAGAGGGTGTTGTGAGCAATGCTAGTAGGGTCCCAATTGAAAGAGATGCTGATTGATTTGATTAGAAACAAGAGCGGGACCATGACCCTTTGTTTTTGTTGTCGCTGTGGATGCCGCTAAGATCAGTGAATAGTCTGCTGCAGTCTAATGCTGCTGCTTCCTGCGGTCATCTTGTTGAATTGGTGCCCATGCGGTGTTGTCCATATGCTAGGATAATAGAGATTCTTCAATAGGATTGGTTGTGAATGGATCAAACTTGACCAATCATAGTCTCATGGGTCTTTGCAAAAGTTGGTTACAATCTATTTTCAGAAAAATAACCAACCGCCGATAAACTCATATGTGCGTATAGCTCCACGTACGAATGAACTACTGAGGTATTTTGAAAATTTGAATTAGACCAGTATGTAGGAAGTTTTGCTTGTAGGTTATAGTTTTTGCCCCCTACTCGTTTGGTACACCTATTTAATCTAATTGATGGACGAGATGTCTACATGATGGAGTTATTGGATGATATATAGCTAACTGGATATAACTAAGGTCATTCATCATAAACTTTGTAATATGACAACTACATAAAGTTAACTTATGATGGAGCAAAACATATGGGTACTTCGATATTTGCCTACAAATATTAGAATACAAATCTTATCAGAACACCTCGTATGCGAACTGAGTGTGCCGCGCTATAAAGTCATCATTTGAAATCTCCAAAATGCCCCCACCTTTGTGGATGATTGATAATTTTTTTTTGGGTTTCCCAAGGGTTATCCCCACACCTTATTACGGATGGGATTAATCCCAACTCACTCTTCATGGTTGCCGCTAACCCGAGGGTTTTCTATCTGCCAGGGGATTCGAACACGGGACTAGCCCGCTATGGATAGTCTCCGAACAGGAGCACAACGGGGTCTTATACCGCGCTGCACCAACCAAGCGGGTTGACTGATAACAACTTGTCTTTTCAAATGCTCGATGGACCGATAAAATATTTTACTCCAGATATCATATTTTGAACAAAATTTAATGCATGAAATTTGTGTAGTATATTGTGCTTGTTGGTTTGACAAGTAGATGGTCCATATTACGTAAAATTTATCCTCCATCGTTATGTTTTTTTTTTTAGAAATTTCATGGTTATGGTTGAAGGTAAGAAAGAGACTCTTTGAGAGTCCAATCAATGGAAATTGAGTGCTGGACCAACGGTCGCAATTATTAACAAGCATGAATTTATATTTATATTTATATTTTTTATTTTTTATTTTTTTAGATAGACAAAGAATAAAGGCGAAGAAATAGACATATCACATGAGACTCATCGATCGGGTACTTCCATATAAGAGTCTTGATCAAGAGTTCATAAGCCGTCGCAGAATTATTTTGTACCATTTGCTTGCAAATTGATGGATTTTATAGACCAAGATCTATGCAAAAATAATTATACAATAATTAGGTTATTAGTTACCATACTTGCTTGTGTCAAGAGGAAACAAAAATTGAGAGATTCTTTCTTTTTTTCGACTTGAATAGTTGTTTCAGAGGCGTGTTAAAAATTTGAAATCTAGACCATACAAATACATGAATGGTCGGGGTCAAATTATTAAAAACCAGATGTCATTAAAATCCTAACTTATATATATCTCTATGTGTGTGTATGTAGAAGTAATATGGTTAGATGCTTTGTTTAACATGAGATTCAAATTAATAGTTAAATTTAAACTAATAGATTAATTAATTTAAGATATATAGCCCCTATGTTTATTTGTTTTTTCTACCAAATTTTTTCTAACCCTAAGCCTAACTTGAACCCAAACCAACTAACCCTACCCCTAATCCGAACTCTAACCCTAACCCAAACCCACTAACCCTAACCCTAACCCGAGGCCTAACCCAGACTGGAACATGAACCCTAACCCGAGTCCTAACCCAAACTGGAACTTGAACCCTAACCCGAATTCAAACCCGAACCCACTAACCTTAACCTGAACCCTAACCCTAACTCGAACCCAAATAAGAAAGAGAGGAGGCGGAAGGGAGGATATGGAAAATTTTAGAGAAGATTTGGTAGGAAAATCAAATAAATGTGAGGCCGCGTATCTTTAGTTAGTCAACCTATTACTTTAAACTAACCTTTAATTTGAATCTAATGGTGAAGAATTATAAGATAACACACTTGAGAATTCCGGCCAATTTGTGTTATTTTCGAGATTTAATTGATAAGCGAATAAAATTAGATGAAAGACACCTAAAAGCCCTACAGACGACACCTTTTCACAGCTTTCTCAATATACCCACATCCTTGAGCAATGAGCAAATAGCAATTGATTGCTTGATTCAAAATTTTAATCCTGATAAATGCTCATTCATGATTGGGAATAAAAATTGTGTGTTCGGTATAGATGATATTCACCGAATTACCGGATTGCCAAAGGAGGGAATTCCGATAAAAATGAGTGGGGCAGCGGCTAATACAATCTACACCTATTTTGTAAAGAATTATAAGAAAGCCGATGAGGAAAAGAAGGCGGTGATTTCGGGGAAGCGCGATAGAATGGCCGAGATGATTGTAGATATGATTAATGAAGACCCTATAATATGTGTGAAACTTATTGTGGCTTTCATTATCGGCTTCATATTATGCCCGCGGACATGTAAGACATGTCCCTTGTGGGCGTTTAGATATGCGGAGCAGTTATCAACTTTGCATAAATATAATTGGTGCCATGCGGTGTTCACTCTTCTTTGCAAAGAGATGAGTAAATCAAAGAAGTCTTTTAGTATGCGGGAATTAGGTCAGCGCTCAAATACCGGGTACATGGGTGGTTTTTCCTCCGTTTTACTGGTGAGTTACATGAACATTATTTTGTATATCTTCCCGTATTGATAATGATTATTGTTTATGCACATGCTAATGTGTAGTTTCTTTTTTGTAGGTTTGGTTTTATGAAAAAGTAGGGGAATTAGAGTACACTTCAGATATTGAAAGGTTACCGCCGCTCTTTTGTGTGAAGAGTACTGGAAAGTGGAGGAGGACTACTATGAACAAATTATATAGAGTCCCGAAGTTGGTTACGGATAATGGCCAAGAGAATAATCCTCTTATTCATACGGCATCGCCAATAGTATTTGTACATATCGTTGCTCTAATAGTTCATTATTTTATGTCCCTTTTGTTAGTATCTATGTTTGCAACTATAGTATACGTACTAATACTAGCTTTTTTTAGCTTTTTTTTTGTCAAATAGGAATCAAGGAAAGCTGAATTAATTTTCTTAATTGCGGAGAAGACGTACGAGTTGAATGAGCTCACTACAGAATTACGAGAATTAGAAGAGCGTAGTGCTAGATGCCAAAAAAAAACCAAGGAGAAAGAGGATGACCGAAATGTAACTGAAGAAAAAAAAATCAAAGAGGATATGGAAGCTAAGGAATATGAGAATTTGGAAGGAACTGGGGAAGCCGATTTATGTGATCTGAAAAAAAAAAAATCAAAGAGGATATGGAAGCTAAGGAATATGAGAATTTGGAAGGAATTGGGGAAGCCGATTTATGTGATGACTTTGTGATGAGCGCAAGAGACGTGAGAGGAACGAACAAAGACGCTAGATCCAATACTTAAGCTCTAACTAGCGCTAGCCGGCTATAGAACTAACATGAGTGCCCTTAGACTTAACACGGAAGATGATAGAACTAACAACATCTAAGCAAGAACTAACAAAACCAGTAAAACAAATGACTTAGGCTCCCGTATGGATTCCATGGTGTTTTTTGAGCTAAATCGTCTTCAACCCAAAACATTATCACTTTTCCTAAACACCTAAAATAAGTTTTAATTTTGGTGTTTTGGTTTTGAGTCTGAGGAGGTGTTAATACAATATCTAGCATAATATATTAAATGTAATGCATATAGAGTTGACATGTTAATGTAATATCTAACATAATTTATTGGTAAAATATGTTAATGTAAAGATAATATATTCACAACACCTATTTATATATATCATAAATTACTAATATATTATTAAATTACTATTAATAATCTCAGCCCTATTAAAGACCATAGTATATTACATAATATTAGAATATTTATAACACATTAATTTATTAGTAACATACCAGTCATAAAATAATATTAACATTATTAAAAATATTATATTATATGAATGATTATATTATAATGACAATAGTATAATATTATGTTATATTAATAATAAAATAAGGTTATTTTAAAAATATAATATAATATATAACCGTAACAATTTGATATACCAAAATTATTAAATTATTTAACTATTTGAAAATAATATGTAATAATTATAAGATGACATAACTCATTAAGTACAATAGACCCAACACTTAAACTAGAACTTAAAGTTATATGGAGGTGGAAATAACACGAGAACAGCTGGATCTATCACTGGAGAAGCGAGAACTTACAACAACTAAGTTGGAACGAACAAAGACGCTAGATCCAATACTTAAGCTCTAACTAGCGCTAGCCGGCTATAGAACTAACATGAGTGCCCTTAGACTTAACACGGAAGATGATAGAACTAACAACATCTAAGCAAGAACTAACAAAACCAGTAAAACAAATGACTTAGGCTCCCGTATGGATTCCATGGTGTTTTTTGAGCTAAATCGTCTTCAACCCAAAACATTATCACTTTTCCTAAACACCTAAAATAAGTTTTAATTTTGGTGTTTTGGTTTTGAGTCTGAGGAGGTGTTAATACAATATCTAGCATAATATATTAAATGTAATGCATATAGAGTTGACATGTTAATGTAATATCTAACATAATTTATTGGTAAAATATGTTAATGTAAAGATAATATATTCACAACACCTATTTATATATATCATAAATTACTAATATATTATTAAATTACTATTAATAATCTCAGCCCTATTAAAGACCATAGTATATTACATAATATTAGAATATTTATAACACATTAATTTATTAGTAACATACCAGTCATAAAATAATATTAACATTATTAAAAATATTATATTATATGAATGATTATATTATAATGACAATAGTATAATATTATGTTATATTAATAATAAAATAAGGTTATTTTAAAAATATAATATAATATATAACCGTAACAATTTGATATACCAAAATTATTAAATTATTTAACTATTTGAAAATAATATGTAATAATTATAAGATGACATAACTCATTAAGTACAATAGACCCAACACTTAAACTAGAACTTAAAGTTATATGGAGGTGGAAATAACACGAGAACAGCTGGATCTATCACTGGAGAAGCGAGAACTTACAACAACTAAGTTGGAACGAACAAAGACGCTAGATCCAATACTTAAGCTCTAACTAGCGCTAGCCGGCTATAGAACTAACATGAGTGCCCTTAGACTTAACACGGAAGATGATAGAACTAACAACATCTAAGCAAGAACTAACAAAACCAGTAAAACAAATGACTTAGGCTCCCGTATGGATTCCATGGTGTTTTTTGAGCTAAATCGTCTTCAACCCAAAACATTATCACTTTTCCTAAACACCTAAAATAAGTTTTAATTTTGGTGTTTTGGTTTTGAGTCTGAGGAGGTGTTAATACAATATCTAGCATAATATATTAAATGTAATGCATATAGAGTTGACATGTTAATGTAATATCTAACATAATTTATTGGTAAAATATGTTAATGTAAAGATAATATATTCACAACACCTATTTATATATATCATAAATTACTAATATATTATTAAATTACTATTAATAATCTCAGCCCTATTAAAGACCATAGTATATTACATAATATTAGAATATTTATAACACATTAATTTATTAGTAACATACCAGTCATAAAATAATATTAACATTATTAAAAATATTATATTATATGAATGATTATATTATAATGACAATAGTATAATATTATGTTATATTAATAATAAAATAAGGTTATTTTAAAAATATAATATAATATATAACCGTAACAATTTGATATACCAAAATTATTAAATTATTTAACTATTTGAAAATAATATGTAATAATTATAAGATGACATAACTCATTAAGTACAATAGACCCAACACTTAAACTAGAACTTAAAGTTATATGGAGGTGGAAATAACACGAGAACAGCTGGATCTATCACTGGAGAAGCGAGAACTTACAACAACTAAGTTGGAACGAACAAAGACGCTAGATCCAATACTTAAGCTCTAACTAGCGCTAGCCGGCTATAGAACTAACATGAGTGCCCTTAGACTTAACACGGAAGATGATAGAACTAACAACATCTAAGCAAGAACTAACAAAACCAGTAAAACAAATGACTTAGGCTCCCGTATGGATTCCATGGTGTTTTTTGAGCTAAATCGTCTTCAACCCAAAACATTATCACTTTTCCTAAACACCTAAAATAAGTTTTAATTTTGGTGTTTTGGTTTTGAGTCTGAGGAGGTGTTAATACAATATCTAGCATAATATATTAAATGTAATGCATATAGAGTTGACATGTTAATGTAATATCTAACATAATTTATTGGTAAAATATGTTAATGTAAAGATAATATATTCACAACACCTATTTATATATATCATAAATTACTAATATATTATTAAATTACTATTAATAATCTCAGCCCTATTAAAGACCATAGTATATTACATAATATTAGAATATTTATAACACATTAATTTATTAGTAACATACCAGTCATAAAATAATATTAACATTATTAAAAATATTATATTATATGAATGATTATATTATAATGACAATAGTATAATATTATGTTATATTAATAATAAAATAAGGTTATTTTAAAAATATAATATAATATATAACCGTAACAATTTGATATACCAAAATTATTAAATTATTTAACTATTTGAAAATAATATGTAATAATTATAAGATGACATAACTCATTAAGTACAATAGACCCAACACTTAAACTAGAACTTAAAGTTATATGGAGGTGGAAATAACACGAGAACAGCTGGATCTATCACTGGAGAAGCGAGAACTTACAACAACTAAGTTGGAACGAACAAAGACGCTAGATCCAATACTTAAGCTCTAACTAGCGCTAGCCGGCTATAGAACTAACATGAGTGCCCTTAGACTTAACACGGAAGATGATAGAACTAACAACATCTAAGCAAGAACTAACAAAACCAGTAAAACAAATGACTTAGGCTCCCGTATGGATTCCATGGTGTTTTTTGAGCTAAATCGTCTTCAACCCAAAACATTATCACTTTTCCTAAACACCTAAAATAAGTTTTAATTTTGGTGTTTTGGTTTTGAGTCTGAGGAGGTGTTAATACAATATCTAGCATAATATATTAAATGTAATGCATATAGAGTTGACATGTTAATGTAATATCTAACATAATTTATTGGTAAAATATGTTAATGTAAAGATAATATATTCACAACACCTATTTATATATATCATAAATTACTAATATATTATTAAATTACTATTAATAATCTCAGCCCTATTAAAGACCATAGTATATTACATAATATTAGAATATTTATAACACATTAATTTATTAGTAACATACCAGTCATAAAATAATATTAACATTATTAAAAATATTATATTATATGAATGATTATATTATAATGACAATAGTATAATATTATGTTATATTAATAATAAAATAAGGTTATTTTAAAAATATAATATAATATATAACCGTAACAATTTGATATACCAAAATTATTAAATTATTTAACTATTTGAAAATAATATGTAATAATTATAAGATGACATAACTCATTAAGTACAATAGACCCAACACTTAAACTAGAACTTAAAGTTATATGGAGGTGGAAATAACACGAGAACAGCTGGATCTATCACTGGAGAAGCGAGAACTTACAACAACTAAGTTGGAACGAACAAAGACGCTAGATCCAATACTTAAGCTCTAACTAGCGCTAGCCGGCTATAGAACTAACATGAGTGCCCTTAGACTTAACACGGAAGATGATAGAACTAACAACATCTAAGCAAGAACTAACAAAACCAGTAAAACAAATGACTTAGGCTCCCGTATGGATTCCATGGTGTTTTTTGAGCTAAATCGTCTTCAACCCAAAACATTATCACTTTTCCTAAACACCTAAAATAAGTTTTAATTTTGGTGTTTTGGTTTTGAGTCTGAGGAGGTGTTAATACAATATCTAGCATAATATATTAAATGTAATGCATATAGAGTTGACATGTTAATGTAATATCTAACATAATTTATTGGTAAAATATGTTAATGTAAAGATAATATATTCACAACACCTATTTATATATATCATAAATTACTAATATATTATTAAATTACTATTAATAATCTCAGCCCTATTAAAGACCATAGTATATTACATAATATTAGAATATTTATAACACATTAATTTATTAGTAACATACCAGTCATAAAATAATATTAACATTATTAAAAATATTATATTATATGAATGATTATATTATAATGACAATAGTATAATATTATGTTATATTAATAATAAAATAAGGTTATTTTAAAAATATAATATAATATATAAC